GCGAAGGCAGGTGTCTGTTCGTAGGAACAGGGTTCTAGTTGCTCCTCAGAGATGCACTTGGCAGGCGTGTGTGAAGTTCAGCGTTCTTAGCGCCTCTCAGTCATGACGGCTTGGGAGCGTCCCCACTGTGTCATTACATAGCACGTTCCCTCTATTTGCTTAGCTTTGAGGCTGTTTTTTTTTTTTTTTTTCCTGTGTCTGTGTCCTCCTAGCAGCAGCGATTTCTCTGGAAACAAAAGGCTTTTACTACGGCTACTGCAGGGAACGGTAGCAAATGTCTGGTAGTACTCCGTGCTGTGAACACAGTAGGGATTCAGCAACTGGTTGAAGAGGAAGGAATGATTACAGTGCCCTGACCTGTAGGTCAAGTTCGCCTCTGTATTTATTTGCATACATAGGGGCCCTCTGAGTAGAATATTCACCGAGTTATTGGACCGGCTGTCTGCTGGCTCAATTGACAAATGTGTTCAATGTCTCATTTAATTTATCAGTAACTTAAATTCAATCAATCGAGTGCTTTGGTGTGATGTAATCCTTCAACTTTCCTTCTTTGCTTATCTCCCATCATCATCTAGCTTCGATCACTGTGTAGGATTGGTTTTATATACATCGGGCAGCTAACTTAAGGCTCCCTTGCCTCTGAGACAGGGTTTGATACGCATGCAGTATAGGAGCCCGTGTACCCATTCCTGGGACAGAATTTCACTTCCTCCCACAATACATACCCCTAACTCTGATGGGGAGCCAGAATGGCAGCAGAAGAGTCGCTCAGGGGTCATAGGTGATTATTTACAAATAGTGAAAGGGGGGAGGCTCATCATTGCTGGATTGTCCGACAATGAACACTGACCACGAGTCACAGCCCACAGCTCTGTTCTCAAAAGCATTTTGCCCCAACAAGGTTGGAGGAAGCAGCTCCCAATGATGTCTGGCCTGCACATTTGCCTTGTACAGATTTAGGGGGCTGTGGAGACCCCGGACTCAGACCTGGGTGATATACACTGATCCTGTCTCTGCCTATTGGCCTTGTGGGTAAGGCGGCATTAAGCATGGCCTGGCGGTCTTCTAGAACAACACGGCACAATGCAGGGGGACACATAGTCTGTGTCTGGGGCTCGAAAAGACTCCAGGGTGACTCGGTGTTCAGGAGGATTTGAGAGCAGGTTGGCTTATGGCCATTACTGTTGGCTAATAACGGCGCTAATCTTTTCGAGGGAGGTTTTGTGTGCATGCGCCCCCTCCCCCAGTCCCCAGGTCAGAGAACAATAAGAGAACTGTGTTTCGGCACCGGTCCATGAGACAGGCAGGGACTGCGCCTGGGTGGGTGAGGTCGGCCGGCGATGGGCGACCAGCCGGGCATTAGCCCGGAGACCCGAGCACCCTGGCTTTGGTTGAGTCAGAGGGGGACGTGGGCTGGTGGAGCCACTGGAGCCTCAGCTGCTTTGGGGTTATCAGATTCAGTGCCCTTTGGGGGACTGCAAAGCAAGTGCCATGCTTGGTGGAAAAGGAGTGTGTGTGTATGCACATGTGTGTGCATGTTCATTCCTGTCCACGCGTGTACTGCACTTTATCCATTTTTCTCCTGCTTGAAATTCAGGCACCAAAACTGTTCTGTTTTGTTCAGAATGTATGCTATTTAGCCTGAACTTGGAGTAGAGCTGCCCAGCGGGGATGTTCCGACAGACCAGTGATTTTCCACCTTTCTCATCTCCTGGCACATAAACTAATCACTAAAATTCGGCAGCACACCCAAAAAACATCTTTTTTGGCTGACCTGACCTCCCTTTCCCTTCTTCTCTACAATCAATAAAAATATTTTTTAAAAAATTAGGCATAATTTTGATTCATTCAAAATGGCTAGTGTTGTATTGGCTGTTGTCATTTCTTTTTATTTGGCAATCTAAGGAAAAAGAGGTCAGTGCCCCTGACTAAATAGTCAGGTACTGCATGCTTTAAACATTCTTGCAAGAACACTGGTTGGAAATCTCTGCTGTAAACCAGTGCATGTGTGCGCACGCTTATGTGTATGTGTATGTGTGTGTGTGTGTGTGTGTGTGTGTGTGTAAGGGGGTGGCAAACATGTTTAAACATGTTCATCTTTAATGTTAAAATTGAATCGTCAGCTCTCCGGGGAGTTGAACTAACCTACAAGGCGAGTCTTGGATGTGCCCCCAACATAGGGAAGTTCTGTCCCTGCTCCGCTGTGATGAGAACGCTCCCACACGGACGCCTAGAGGTGCAGAACAGCGAGCTCCATGGTTGTGAGACCCCAGGAGCAGGCAACATCCCCGTCCACTTGTTGCCGTGGGTGCTAATTGCCCGCCTTCTCCTCTGAAACGGGCCGCAAGGTCATGTTCAGCACCTGGGCCCACTAGTTCCTGGTAGTGAATTTCCATGGGGTGGCCGTTCACGTGGCAGGGATTGTGCAAGCGGGTCCTTGCCAGCATATCGACGGGGAAAGGGCTGGTATTTACGTCCCCTCTGCCTCCTGGCCCAGGTTCCCTGTGGGGGTGCCCAGGTCGGGCGGGGGTGGCGCGTGGCATGTCCTGCTCCCCCTGCTCCCTGTTAAGCAGCTGTGCGCGTGGTAACAGGAGGCTGGTGCGGCTGGTGGACGGAGCGCGCTGTGAGTGTAACTTGGCAGGAGGCTGCATGATGGCACCGGGGGGCCGTGCAAACGAGAGACGGTGAGGGTGTTTCCACGGGTCCGGGTCCGAGGCTGGGGAGGGTGGCGAGGCCCGGCAACCTCGCTGACGCCCTCGGGGAGCCACTGAAAGAATGAGACTGAGGTCCAAGCAGAGACACGGGTTCTCCCCCTGGAGCCCCGGGAGTCCTCAGGCCTGCGCTTTCCAGCTCCCCACGAACCTTTCCAGATTTAAAATAAATAAATAAATAAAAACACGGGTGGAAAAATACAGTAAAAGTGACAGCGCCTTCCTAGTTTCCGACGGCTCTGCTGGACTTTGGCTCTGCTGGACTTCGCCATCGGCCAAACTGGAGCCCCCCCGAGGCGGAGCTGGCTTAGTCTGTCACCTCAGATGATTAACCGTTTCCCTGCCTCGCTGGGTGGGTGTCCCTCTGGCTCCTCGCCCACGCCTGGCGTGGGGACCCGCTAATCCTGTGCCCTTTCTCTTGGGCTCGTGGCTCTGTCTGATGAGCCCCGGTCAAGTCCAATTGGAATTCACTTCACCGTCACCTCCCTGCTGGCTTCGGCCACGAAATGGAAGGCGGTGGGTAAGGACGGGAGGGAGTGACTGCGGAGGCAGGTCCGGCCTGGTCCAGACTGTCCTTCAGAAGTCCGAGCGGGCAGCACATTTCTCCTGGTGAAGGGCCAAGGGCAGAGGAGGGCTCCTTGCAGAACTGGGAGGATACAGGACACAGTCTTCTGGGAAGCGGAGGGAGAGCGAGTGCCTTTATCTCCTTGGTGAGCACAGTTTGTCTCTGTGGCACCCAGTCGCCGCCACTGGCGTCCCTCTTCTCCTTTCCCATCATCTCTCTGGTCC